CCCTAAACCCTAAACCCTAAACCCTAAACCCTAAACCCTAAACCCTAAACCCTAAACCATCATCTTGTCATGAGATGTCAGCTTCTCTGGGATGGCCAGCATCATGCGTTTCAGCTTGGGGATGCTCCCCTTATACTAGCCGTCCTTCAGAGGGATTCTAGAACCCCCCCCCCCAAGTAGAATCCCTACTAAGGACCGTATAAGGTTTAGGGTTTAGGGTTTAGGGCTTAGGGCTTAGGGAGCATCCCAAATGTTTATCGTCATCGTACCGTCAGCCGGCACCGGCGCGGCCGCGGAACAAGGACACGTCGGGCCTCCATCTGGCGTCAAAACGCTTGCATGAGACATGACCCTAAACCCTAAACCCTAAACCCTAAACCCTAAACCCTAAACCCTAAACCCTAAACCCTAAACCCTAAACCCTAAACCCTAAACCCTAAACCCTAGTCATTCGTGGCCTTTGGGATGAAAGCATCAACAACATGAGAGAAAACGTTCAAAAAACAAGGGCTCTCTGTTTACCCCAATGCCCAAAGGGTGGACCCCTGCACCCTAAACCTTGGGATGTTCCCGCTTATACTGACAATCCTTAATTAATAGGAATTCTAGCACACCCTAGTATAATCCCTATGAAGGACTGTTAGGAAAAAGGGGGGAACATTTCAACCTACACCCCGAAACCCTAAATGGGGACCCCTGGCCCAAACTTCCCAGGGCGAGAGCGCCTGGCTCCCTGACCCGATCCAACTGCGCCCCCCACGGCGCAGAGTCCGCCGGAGAGAGACCCCCCGGGAAAGATGGCCTCGAAGGAGGCTTGGGGCTCAAAAGGGGCTCCAGGGTTCAAGGGTTTAGGGTTTAGGGTTTAGGGTTAGGGTTTAGGGTTTAGGGTTCAGGGTTCAAGATCGACTGCTGGGTTTAGGGTTTAGGGTTGAAGCATTAGGGTTTAGGGCTTAGGGCTTAGGGCTTCGCGCTAGACCCAAGAGTAGCCCAGGAAAACAAAGGGTGCACTTTTTTTGCGCTTACAGGGCCTTATACGGGAACATACGGGAACCAAATAAATGGAAACACGGGCCTGCTCGAGGGGTTTTAAGGTTTAGCAGGTTCAGGGTTTTTGGGTTTTTTAGGGGGTTTGGAGTCCGGAGTGCTGTGTTCGTGCTCATCGCTGGCCTTATGCGGTTTCGGTTAGAGGGGGGGCAACAGACGACTACCTTCCATGTAAGGCTGTAATCAGCCCCCCAAGAAAAGTGAGTGAGTGAGTGAGCACCGACCGAGGCATGTGTCTGCCGAAGACGCATGCCTGGCCTAACAAATTGGCGACACCTCCAGCGCGAAGGCTTAAAGTGTCAGCCACAACAACACGACGCAACGACAAACAGCAACAGCCAACAACACGCAACCAAGACGCGATGACGAACGAAAAGGCCCAGTTAAGCGTGAGGGCGTGTTTGCTCCGAACAAAGCGACCACTAGGCAGGCCCGCCACCTGCACCCATCGAGCAGAGTACTGCCCGGCGGGCCGGCATAAGGGCAAGACAGCTTGCCATCCTCGCGATAACTTCGCTCAGCGCGGCTCCTCCCCCACAGGTCACCCTTCAGGGTACTAAGCCAAGTAAATACCGTCACCTCCGCTCAGGGCAGTGCGCCCGTCGAGTGCCTATAACGGCAAACACGCCTCTCCACAGATCCTTCTGCACATACTAAGTGCCCACCCCGACCTGTGCACACCCGGAGCTACTCACATCACGGCCTCATCCACCTCCACCATTTCCAGCAAACCAGCGCCCCCTCCAGCAATGGCAATATTCTGCCATCCCCCTCAAAGCTGGTCTCAAATCAGTGTGCCCTCCGAGTAGCGGGACGAAACCCAACACTGTGGGCAACCTCCCCGGAGGAGGGGTGACCCCCCAAAAAAAAACCAGCACACTCTTTTCCACTCTTTTCGAAGTTTCCCGACTCTTGAACCCACTCATAGTATTCCCTTATGGTCCTTGTGTACATACACGATCATCACCCCCAAGACCCTGTTCTGTTTTTGTGGGGGTCTGCTTAGAAACAGATTGGGAACCTTTCTGGCCGCGTCACTGGACACATCCAGGTTGCCGGTGGTCACCAGCCTGCAGCAGAGGTTCAGCCCAAAAACGGTTTGGGGCAGCGGCTAAACCCTAAGCCCTAAACCCTAGAAGGGGTGCAAGGAGGGACCACAAAATCCCCTACTTACCCCTACATATACCTTTTGAGTCTCTATGGTCCCTTACAAGGGTCCCTCCTTTAGTCGCTGGAGCTAAACCCTGCACTCACCCTGAACCTAAAACCCTAAACCCTAAACCCTAAAGCCCAAACCCCAAACCCCAAACCCCAAACCCTAAACCCTAAACCCTAAACCCAAAACCCTAAACCCTAAACCCTAAACCCTAACCCTAAACCCTACGGCTGCCTCGACATCAGCAAGGCAGGGCTCATAGCCGTTTCGTCGCTGAGGGCTGCGAGCGAGCCCCCGAAAGAACCCTTCGGTGAGTCCTTGGGGCTTAGGGCTTAGGGTTTAGGGTTTAGGGTTTAAGGGTTTAGGGTTTAGGGTTTAGGGTTTAGGGTTCAGGGTGAGTGCAGGGTTTAGGGTTTAGGGCTTAGGGCTTAGGGCTTAGGGTTTAGGGTTTAGGGTTTAGGGTTTAGGGTTTACGGTTTAGGGTTTAGGGTTTAGGGTGTAGGGTCTCTGCTGGAGGGTGGGGCTTGTAGGGTTTCGGGTTTAGGGTCCAGGGTCGAGAAGTCGATGCGTTGCTATTGCACAAGCAACTCGAAGAAGATTCCCTTCACGGGTTTAGGGTTTAGGGTTTAGGGTTTAGGGTTTAAGGTTTAGGGTTTAGGGTTTAGGGTTTAGGGTTTAGGGTTTAGGGTTTAGGGTTTAGGGTTTAGGGTTTAGGGTTTAGGGTTTAGGGTTTAGGGTTTAGGGTTTAGGGAAAGTACCAAGAATCTGAAGGACCTTGCAGCCAGGGATCTTGTGAGACATGTGAGCACCTCCGTGGCAGAAGAGCTTGGCGTTTTGCGGGTTTAGGGTTTAGGGTTTCGGGTTTCGGGTTTGGGGTTTAGGGTTTAGGGTTTAGGGTTTAGGGTTTAGGGTTCCTCTGAAGCACCTTGCCTCTCGTGGCTCAGGGAGCTGCAATTGCGAAGCTCCGCATAGTCAGAGACCTCCAAGCAGAAATCTCGACTGGCATAAAGAGGGCTTAGGGCTCGGGGTGGCTCAATGAGGGTGCTTAAAGATGGTTTCGGGTGAAGGGATTTAAAAGTCTATAGGCTCGACTTTCTTACTGTCGGTTAGCAGAGAAAGAGGGAATTAGGGCCCCATATATACCTTTAAAGGGATTGTTTAGGGTACTTCATTCCCTCCTTCCCTACGAACCAACAGTAAGTTTTGAGGGGATTGCGTTTGCAGATGTCAGAAGACATGTGTCCGTTGGGTGCTGCACATTCCAGGCTCGATCTTTGCAGGGGGTCCGGCTCCCCCAGGCACGTTTCTAGTACTTGCCCCAGGCGGGGTATTGCACCGATACTGGAGGTGCAGCTCACGCTCAACACAACACTCTGGGCTTGCACAGTAAGTCCAAGCAATGTTGTTAATGGCTGTCGGGTGTAGTTCTGGGTCCAGGCACCCTAGAAAAGGGTGGGTACGGCCTAAGCAGGCCTGGGTGGAATTTTGGGTTTAGGGTTTGGGGTTTAGGGTTTGGGGTTTAGGGTTTAGGGTTTAGGATTTAGGGTTTAGGATTTAGGGTTTAGGGTTTAGGGTTTAGGGTTTATGGTTTAGGGCCCTGCAACCTCGTCAAGCTCGTCCTCGACCTGCTCGATGGGACCGGCGGCCGTGGATTGGCAGCAATCCGCCAAAGCCATGTGGAACTCCAATTGCGGGTTAGGGTTTAAAGTTTGGGGCTTGGGGTTTAGGGTTTGGGGTTTGGGGTTTAGGGTGTAGGGTGTAGGGTTTAGGGTTTAGGGTTTAGGGTGTAGGGTTTAGGGTTTAGGGTTTAGGGTTTAGGGTTTAGGGTTTAGGGTTTGGGGTTTAGGGTTTAGGGTTTAGGGTTTGAGGTTTTCGCTGCGCCCCATGGGAGTTTCAATGGTGGAAGCCCACACAGAACGCCCTCTAAGCCCTAAACCCTAAACCCTAAACCCCAAATTCTAAACCCTAAACCCTCACAAGCCCACAGACCGCCCTTAGCCCCGAAACCCTTGAGTCCGTTTGAACTCTTATAGACCCAGACGCGGCTCTAATTGCAAGCCCATCTGGATCTTGAGCCCAGGAGATAGAACTTAGGGTTTGGGTTTTGGGTGTTAGGGCTTAGGGCTTAGGGTTGTAGGGTTTAAGGTTTAGGGTTTGCTTTGGGGTTTTCTTGGTGGTTCATGGGTGCTTAGAAGTAGGGTTATAAGTAGGGGCAATGGCTAAAACCTTTTTTAGGGTTCTTAAAATCCTGCTCACCGTACCCATGACCCCCCAAAGAGGGTGTTCGGGTTAAGGATTGCGGAGACTTAGGGTTTAGGGTTGAGGGTTTAGGGTTTAGGGTTTAGGGTTGAGGGTTTCGGGTTTCGGGTTTAGGGTCTAGGGGTCAAGGGTTGGAGCTCTTGGGGGCATAGAGGGACTTGGGGGGGGCTTGTTGGGGGTCTAAGGGGTTTAGGGACTTAGTCAGAAACAAAAGCTGCACCTTTCAGCACCTCAACCCTGTAAAGGCCCAACCCTAAATACAGCCCTTAACTCTAAACCTCAAGCCCTCAGCCCCACCAAAGTCTAAACAATAAACCCTACACTCTAAACCGTAAAGTCTCCAAACCCAAACCCTAGACCCCTTAATTCCCTAGCCCCTAAGCCCTAAAGTCCCAAAACCCCTACGGTTTTCAAAGCCTTAACCCTAAACCCTAAACCCTAAACCCCAAACCCGAAACCCTAAACCCGAAACCCTAAACCCCCCTCCCTTAAGAACCTTCTAATGCAATTTCACAAGGCCCCAAAGGCTGGGAGCCCTGGCCAGCCGACACCCTCGTTCTTGACGGGCGGTGGGAGCTGAGGGAGGCCCTGTGCGGGGTTTGGGGGTTTGGGGTTTGGGGTTTGGGGTTTGGGGTTTGGGGTTTTTAGGGTTTGGGGTTTGGGGTTTTTAGGGTTTGGGGTTTTTAGGGTTTGGGGTTTGGGGTTTAGGGTTTGGGGTTTGGGGTTTGGGGTTTAGGGTTTAGGGTTTAGGTTCCCAACTTAATGAACGAGCTTCAAGGTGTGAGGTTCGAGGGCTCTGGGCCCTGGGGCTTGGGGTTCAGGACTTTGGGTCTTGGGGTTTGTAGGGTACCCTAGACCCTTGGGATGTTCCCTTATACTAACAGTCCTCTGAAGAGGGAAATAGGGGGGACTATCATCCCTAGCTGCTACGCAGGGGCTTGGAGCTTCAGGGTACTTATAAACCCAATTATAACTGTACTTATCAGTCCCCGAAGTTCCCTGGGTCGGTTAGAAGTAGACTTAGAAGTGGGGTTCAAGGTACCCTAAGGAACCTCCAAGAACTGGGAACATCCCCAGCTCGACATCAAGGAGCTCTCGTGCCTGTCGAGGCTGCATCCCGGGATTCACCACATGACGGTCAGCGGCGCCCTGCGCGCCCTGCGCCGGCCGCGCATGGAACTCAAGGATTAGGATCCCTCGCGGGTTTTAGCGTTTTAGGGTTCAGGGTTTAGGGTTTAGGGTGCAGGGTTTAGGGTTTAGGGTTAGGGTTCTAGGGTTTACGGGTTTGGGGGCTTGAGGGTTGAGGGTTTGGGGCTTAGGGCTTAGGGTTCCCCATCCCCCTAGGAAGAGCACGAGGAGCACCTGCTCCTTGTCGATCTCCCCGAGCAGAAGCGCATGGACAATGACCTCTCCAGACCCACCCCCCGCCCCCCCCCCCCCCCCCCCCAACTCTGTTTTGGGCTTAGGTGTTAGGGTTTAGGGTTTAGGTAGGGTTTAGGGTTTAGGGTTTAGGTTTTCGGGTTTAGGGTTTAGGGTTTGGGGTTGAGGGTTGAGCTCACTGTCTAGCTTTTGCTAGTCAAGCAATGAATGGAGCTTTCGAAAAACAATACAACAACAAACCCCCGCCCCCAAAGAGTGCCGTAACATCAAGAAAATACAAAGTTCGCTCTAGAAGTAGGTGATAGGATTGGACCCTTGGGGATACAGACCCTCTGAATAAGGTCCCTGTTTGAGAGAGCCAGAAGAGAGTTCAGAAGGGTCCCCTTTCTAGGGGTCCCCCTTATCCTACATAGGAACAAGCCTTAGGCTCCATTCCCTCGGGCCCTAAACCCTACAAGCCTTAAGGCAGCCGAGTGCTGCAGCAAGGCGAACCCATCAATCAGACTTCACCTTATCACTGGGGAAACCTTGAAAGGTGAGTTGGGGGGGGGGGGGGGGGGGGGGCGGGGGCCTACTGATTTTGTGACCTTGCCCGCTGCTTTTATGACCTTGCCCGTTGTTTTTTGTGACCTTGCCCGCTATTTCTATGACCTGCCCACAATTCTTATGACCTTGCCCGCTAATTTTATGACCTTGCCCGCTAATTTTTATGACCTTGCTCGCTAAGTTTATGACCTTGCCCGTGAATTTTATGACCTTGCCCGCAAAGTCATTAGCATTTACATTTTCTATGATAGAGTGGTTTAGGGTTTAGGGTTCAGGGTTTGGGGTTAGCGTTTACAAAACCTGACATGCAAAGTCTAAACCCTTTGGTAAACTCGACCTTTCAATTCCTTCAAGCGCTCTAACTCTAACCCCTAAACCCCTAAACCAATCAAACCCTAAGCGTTAAACCCCAAGCAAACCCTCAACCCTAAACCCGAACCCCAAAGCAAACCTACCGCGCGAGACTCCGGCTTTCCTATGCATTGCCTCCCGAAAAAACCGTTTAAACACGTGAAAAGACCCTAAACCCTAAACCCTAAACCCTAAACCCTAAACCCTAAACCCGAAACCCTAAAACCTAAACCCTAAACCCTAAACCCTAAACCCTAAACCCTAAACCCTAAACCCTAAACCCTAAACCCTAAACCAAACAAAGCAAGCCTAGACAGCCCCAAAAAACACCCAAGCCTGGTCCCCCTGAACCCTAATCCCTAAACAGTCCCTCGGCAAAGAAGACCCTCAACAGGAGCAAGGCTGGGGGGTTTAGGGTGGGTTTAGGGCTTAGGGTTTGAAGGTTTAGGGTGTAACGCTTAGGGTTAAGGTTTGGGGGTTAGGGCTGCAGGCTTTGGGGTTGTGGGCTTAGGGTGCTAGGGTATAGCGGCGTCACGGGGGGAAGGGGGAGGTGAGGTTCCAACCCGCCATCATCAACACACACACACACACACACACAGAGTCTGTGCCGTGCTTCAAAAACAAACCCTAAACCACAAACCCTGAACCATAAACCCTAAACGGCCGAGGTCCCCCGCCAGGCAGAGCCCATAGAGGGCGTTCAAGACCTTGGACTTTCACTTGGGGTTCAGGGGCTTAGGGTTTGGGGTCTAGGGCTTGTTGGGTTTCGGGGTTAAGGTTTAGGGTCAAGGGCTTGTTGGGTTTAGGGCTTAAGGTGTCTCATTGAGGAGGAGCGCTAGTGCCAAAAGCACCCCGGCACATGCGTGTAGCCCCACCTTCGCTTGCGCTCCACCCTCGTCTTCACCTCTGCGGGTGTTAGGGTCTCCTGCGTTTCTGACCGTGCTCATGTTCCTCATTCTTGTTGACAGTGACTCAGGCTATAAGGAAGGCACTGCTCAAGGGATTGCGTTCGGGCGATCAGAAGCCCCTTGAAGGAGGCCTCTTCTGGGAGGCCGCGGGGTCTTGGGGCGGGGGGAGAGGGAGGGAGGGAGGGAAGGAGGGAGGGAGGGAGAGAGAGGTGTCATCCCATGGCAAGGGGGGCACCGCGTTGTCTGCACCCCCAGAGGGGGTTAAGACGCAAGCAGGGCGAAGGGCTCCGAAAACGTCATGCCCCACGAGCAGGGAAGAAAGAGTGGTGACAAGCTTGCAGATTGCATGGAAGCCCAAGCACACCGCCAACACATGCAAGGGCCCGGATGTAGATGTTGCCCAACGTGCTCGTCCTTGTAGCGGGTTTGGGGAGGGCCACCAGCTGCCACCATCGTGGCCCGGTGCGCCCCTCAGGAGCGCTGTCTTCGAAGCGCACCCCCAGCGAAAGTAGGGGACTGTGAGGGAAGAAGAAGGGCACACCGGTTGTCTAGATGCCAAACCAGCACCCGCAGGCTTGAAGGTGCTAGGGAGGGGAAGGGGGGAGGGGGCAGGAAGGGGGGGGAGGGGTTGGATTCCAGGAACTGAAACCAAGCTGCCAGAATGGGCATACGTAGTATGAAATAGCGGCTCGGCCACAGTGTGATCCCAAGGCGAAACCCAAAACCTTCAAAGCTTGAATGCCCGAAGCCCTGCATCCACTCACTCACTCGCCCCTGCGATTATTCGAAGGTATAGGGTCTAGGGTTTAGGGTTTAGGGTTTAGGGTTTAGGGTTTAGGGTTTAGGGTTTAGGGTTTCGGTTCAGGGTTTAGGGTTTTAGGGTTTAGGGTTTAGGGTTCTAGGGTTCTAGGGTTCTAGGGTTCTAGAGTTTAGGACTTAGGGCTTAGGGCTTAGGGCTTAGGGCTTAGGGCTTAGGGCTTCGGGTTTTAGGACTTAGGGCTTAGGGCTTAGGGCTTAGGGCTTAGGGCTTAGGGCTTAGGGCTTAGGGCTTAGGGCTTAGGGCTTAGGGCTTAAGGCTTGGGGTTCAGGGTTTAGGGGTATTGGGCTCCCTCCGGGAATATTCCACTCTCACCGGGCCCTTCACCAGCACGCCCCCAGCACCCTGTCGAAGGCCGAAGCAGCCCAGGACCTTCCGACAAGGGGGGGAGAGGAGTGCTGGGATTGGGGGGGGGGGGGGTCTGAAAGTTTGGGGTTTAGGGTTTGGGGTTTGGGGTTTGGGGTTTGGGGTTTAGGGTTTAGGGTTTAGGGTCTCGGGTTTAGGGTTTAGGGTTTAGGGTTTATGGTTTAGGGTTTAGGGTTTAGGGCTTTAAGCCCTAGACCCGAAAACCTAAACCAAGAACGACTGCTGTGCCGGGGCAACAGTTCAGGGCAACTTATTTGGCTTGTCAAGTGGTCTACTTTCATCTACATTCTACAGCTGGGCAATCCCCATGAGAGGTATGCCCTCTTTTGAGACGGATGCAAGCAGGATCGCCGAGCTGCCGCGCATCATTCTGACACTCTATCCGATGCCACATCAGCACAAAACTTGCTAGATTGGCCTTGAGAGTGGAGCAGGCACCTACCCTTTCGAGCTCTGCGTCCCAAACCCTCGGGCGCCCCTGCGCTCCCCTTTTCTCTCCAGCGGGTGGAAGCGAAACCCCGCGCCGGTGCTAAGTCGATGCGATGTCGAAAACGCCCGAGCCAGTGCCCCAAAACAATCATTCAGATGACTGGGCGACTGGGCCATTAAAACGGGAATAACGGAGCAACTACTCTCCTAAGATTGCTGCTGGCGCATGTCAGCCAAAGTTTTCCACTGCTGAGTATAGGTGCCATCCATGTGCATGGTCAGAACTCTTACGCCAGACCTCTCAGGCAACGGCTGCAACAGCTCCCCAATGCCACCAGCCAGAATGACATCCTGAAAGAAGGCTTGTCCAATGGGCTTACTGCCAACCACGGACGCAGCCTCCGGCGACAGCGACCCGTCTGCACCCGTCCACCAGATGCTGGTTCCTGAGGAGCTTGTGACAAGGATGTCCATTGTAAGCGTCTTGCCAATCTGGCTGGACTCGTACAGGTACCCAGTGTTCTCGACGTTTGTGTGGAAGTGGCCGCAAAGCCAGAGCACGGGGACCTTCCCACCGGCATACTGAGCCAGAAGGTCCAGGACCTGGATTCTGGTGGACAGCGGCCAGTTTCCTGGGTTTTTCTGCTCAGACAACGATTTCTTACTGATGATTGCCCGACTTCGACCCTCTTCATTCTTATCTCTGCAAAACTTCATCTTAAGACTCCTGCTGCAGACATCTGCAAACGATGAAACCACTACACTACACCAGCCCAAGGAACCCCATCCATGTGCTTCCGTGTGGTTCCCATAGAAGGGCGCGATGTGCGTCAGAACCACGATGCGGTTGATGGACTTCAAGGGCGTTCTTGCCAAGGTCGTCTCGAGCCACTGGGTCTGCTCCGCCTGCAAGGCCGCGGTGGCTGCATCCGATGCATCCCAGTAGAGTTGCGAGCTGATCTGCAAGTACAGCACCTTCTGCTTGCCTGGGCTGCCCAGAAGAATCCAAGAATAGCAAGGGTGCTCGCTTCATGGAGTTGTTTCTAAGCGAACCTCAAGAAAAGGGGAATTTGGGGGGGGGGGGGCGGGGGGGGGGCTGGGGGCACTACTCGGCGTCCTGGTTGCGAAAGCTTGCATAGTGCGGACCCCAGTTCGTCACATAGTCTCGGAGTGTGTCGGCATCGGGAGCATCGCCGATGTCATGATTGCCGGCCGTAGTCACCACTTTTCCTCTGAGGTGGATGTTGGGGAGAGGAGAGGAGCACCCTGGAAAAATCAAAGCGTACAGCGCGTGACAGCGCCATGCAGTAAGTAGAGGGCTGAAAAGATGGCAAACAAAAAGGCTTCCGCTTCAACCCTACTTTTCTGGAGCTGAGCTCGGTCCCTTAATCCCTAAGGTCTGAGCATCCCCCAAAGCCTAAACCCTAAAACCCTAAACCCTAAACCCTAAACCCGAAACCCGAAACCCTAAACCCAAACCCTAAACCCAAACCCTAAACCCTTCCGGATCAACCCAGGGTCCTTTGGACTTCTTCAGCACCTCCTTCAGCTCGGTCCTCTGGCTGCTCCCAAGCTCGCCACTCAGCAGAAACTCATCACCTCGGCTGCCCCAGAAAGGGTTTAGGGTTTAGGGTTCAGGGTTTAGGGTTCAGGGTTCAGGGTTTAGGGTTTAGGGTTCAGGGTTCAGGGTTCAGGGTTTAGGGTTTAGGGTGTGTCAGGGGAGGGCGCGCGCTCGGGTGTGAAACACCCCGGGCCGCGCGCTCGCGTTGCCCGTCAACCCACCCCGGCCACCCAAACTATACTCTATTAGGGTTTAGGGTTTATGGAATTTACTTTCTTGTGCTTTGATGCTTGCTTTGATGTTTTAAAGTTGCGCTGTTAGGGTTTAAGCTGGGGTTGGGGGTAGCCTCGGCCCTTTTCGGGCCTTCGGCGTGTCAGGGCCCGTAGAGGCCCTTATTTATTTGAAGGTCAGGGAAACCCTTTGTGTCTGCTCCTGGATTCCCCTTCTTTAAGGGCTTCAATTAAGCATCGATTTCACTACCAAAAAATCGCATTTTTCATTGCGGGTACGGGCATCCTGGGGTCCCCCTTCTTTTAGGGGGCCTTTTGAAGCCTTTTGAAGAAAACCAAGTTTCGGGGAAGTCGGGGGGCGACCCCGCTTTCAGGGCCGCAAAACACAAGCAATTCTGGCTTCGCGAGGACGGGCCTCCACAGTATGAGCGTGGAAGGTCCCCGGTATTGAGTGCAAATAGAGAAGCGTCAGCGATTTGCTGTGGGCTTGCGCAGGAAAGAAAGGGCACCGCACCATCATGGCATGATTTGCATGGTCTTCGGGCGCCTGCTCCAAGACAATAGCACGTCAGTCCGACATGGCCTTGGTCGGTAGCAGCTTGTTCACCACAGGGAACGGCGGTGGCGACAGCGATTGGGCACGGTGCTATCTTTTTAAGCACTCGAAGATGTTCTCTGTAGATCCGATCCTTAAGGGCGACACTTACACCTGTAGCTCGAAGTGGATTATGCTCACCAATTAGGATCGCGTTGGCTTCTCCACAATCAGTTTTGGCCGCACAGGGGCCGTAGAGGCTTCATGCATTTAAAGGTCAGGGAACCTATGAATGAATTTTTCGCCAATGAGTATTTCAATCGCTAGGGTTTAAGCTCGGGTTCGGGGTAGCCTCGGCCCTTTTCGGGCCTTCGGCAAGTTAGGGCCCGTAGAGGCCCTTATTTGCTTGAAGGCCTTCGCAGGCTTTTGCGGTGTTAGGGTTTAGTAGCCTCGGTCCTTCGGCACGTCAGGGCCCGTAGAGGTCCTTGCTGATTTGGGGGGAGCCATCGATTTCAGTACTAAAAAAGAACATTTTTCATTGCGGGCAAGGGTACCTAAAACCATCGTTTTCAATATTCAAAAATCGCATTTTTCATTGCGGGCACGGACAAATCTTGTGGTCCCCTTCTTTTAGTGGGCCTTTTGAAGCTTTTGAAGCCTTTTGGTGGCTCTTGGCGGTTCTTGGGGGCTTCCTGAGCGTGCGATTCCCTGCGAGGGTGTTGGTGTGGGGGGGCCCTTGGCCCGAGGGGCCCCGGGCTGAGCCCTAGTTGGGGGGGGGCCCTTAACAGGGGTGTTTGGGCAGGGCGTCTGCGGGCCCTTCGGTTTGGCCTTAGCCTCGAGAGGGCCTTGCCTGCGACGGGGCCCTTTGGTTTGGGCCTTGGCCTGGGAGCCCCTCTTGCCCCAGGTCCTTGAATGTTGGTGCAGGGGTGCTTGGCTGGAGGGGTTCTTGGGGGCCCTTGGCCCGGGAGGCCCTTCCTTGGCCCGGGCAGGGGGGGGGACCCTTGGCCTTTTGGCCTGGGGGCCCTTGGCCTGGGGGGCCGTTGGCCGGGGGGGGGGCCCTTGGCCGGGGGGCCCTTGGCCCGGGGCGCTTCGGCGGGCCTTGGTCTGGGGCTCGAAAGGCCCTTGGCCCGAGGGGGCCCTTGGCTTGGGGGGCCCTTTGGTTTGGGGGGCCCTCCCGGGGGGCCCTTGGCCCGGGAGGCCGCCAAAAACCCCCAAAATCACGAAATTGCTGGTCCAGGAATCCAGCTACCAGGGACCAGGGGGCCCCGGGGGGGGGGGCCCGGCAAACCCTGAACCGGTTTTACTTTAGCTACGCTAAAGGTGGTCTGGGTGCCGGCCATCCCTTAGCCGAGTACTGACGTTGTCGTAAAAAAGGCCGATGTCCGTTGGCCTGTCCAGGACAGACGGTGAGGCTTAACCCTCACCTTTCCGTTTCTCTTTTCGCTTGGGCGCTCGGGCTGTAAGGCCCTCGGCCGAGCGTTCGGGGTCTGTCGCTCGACGGAAGCGACCCCTCACTTAGTTTAGGGTTTAGGGTTTAGGGTTTGGGGTTTAGGGTTAGGGTTTAGGGTTTACGGCTTAGGGTTTCGGGTTTAGGGTTTGGGGTTTAGGGCTTCAGTGCTTTTGTTTTAGACTGCAAGTTTCTATTCGTTATTGAGCTTAAGTACCCTTAAAAGTGCAAAATGCTACCCCACTATGACAGAGTTTAGATTTCCTGGCCCTCAACGGCATAAGTGAGGGTGCTCCTGGGAAGCCTCGTCTGTGAACCCTCCTGAGCAGTTTTTGGGGTAAACCTTAAACCCTAAACCCTAAACCCTAAACCCTAAACCCTAAACCCTGGGCTTTGGGAGGTAGGCGTCTGACATTTGAAGTCTGGCAGTGTTTAAGTAAGGTTTTAAGGCTTGGGGAAAATTCTTCCTAAATAAAACACAACAGATCCCAACAGCCTACTATGGACAGGGGTCGGAAATAATTGCGAAAAATTTTCCATATGACCCCTTTATAACTATACCAGAATAACCCCCCCAAAACCCTATTCTACTTCTCTTCAGGCCCATATATTTCCCTTCTGGCCCCTTTATAATTCGCCTCGGCTTCCTGCCGAGAAGCGTCTGGAACAAGCAGACCCGGATCGGGCCCCCTTCCCCCTAACCCAACCCTTCCGCCCATGCAAAATTTTGTGACGCACCCGACCCCGGACCTGGACCCTTCCTCCCCTTTTTTGCAGAAACCCTCTTTCCTCCTTTCCTGTCCTGGGGCCGGCCCGGCTGCCGAGGCGGCGAGCGCAAGCGTTTACAATTATACCATCATAACCCCCAAAAAGCCCTCTTCTACTTCTTCAGGCCCCTATAGAACCAAGGCACTCTGGATCGGCTGAGTAGGATCCGTGCCAAGGCGGTTTCTCCCGACAACCGCAGAACCATTTGCATCTTTCTCGTTGGGCCAGTAGTTCCTTGTGAGCTGAGTTGCGCTACAAAAGGGCAAAAACAGCTAAACCACCCATAAAGGTGAACGTCTATCTACTACTCAGTACCTGAGGTTCTGCATGTCACCACCGACTAGGAGGAACTCGGGCTTGAATGCGTTGGTCCGAGTTATCAACTCGGAGACAATGCTGAGCTCCGCCTCCCAGTCAGTGGCATTGACGTACTGCCTGGGTGGATTAAGATCAAGAGAAGGCCTAGCGACTTGCTGCAAGACAAGAGGAGAGAATAGGGGCCTTAGTGATTAGAATAGAGTTTTCGGGGGTTATGATTGTTAGTATATTTATAAAGGGGCCTAGAAAACGTCGATGTCCATATGGGTTTGTCCAGGGCCCATACTGCTTCATAAAGGCCATCCCGAATCAAACTGCCCAGTTGCTTGTGGAGGCCCAACTGGGGGTCGCACAGGTGAATGACCGTATGCTCTGGCTTAAGTTCTGAGGTCTGAATCAATGCCGAGTGTTCTGGAACATCTCCTGGGCAGGTTCCTGAAACGCATCCGGTGTCCGCACCGACGGCGTGCCCTCTTGCGAAGGATGCGGAGGATGCAAGCAGGATCGCCAAGCTGCCGCGCATCATTCTGAGACTGGATCCAGTGGCAGAGACGTTCGCGTCAGCACAAAACTTGCTAAACTAGCCTTGAGAGCGGAGCGGGCACACCTTCCTTCTCTTGGTCTAGTCGGGCGGCCTGGGAAGAGGCAAGACCCTAAACCCTAAACCCCAAACCCCAACCCTAAACCCTAAACCCTAAACCCTAACCCTACGACATCCTCCACAAAAAATCGCACAAACCAAGCAAAGCTCAGAAAGCAGATCTGACAGGTCGACCGCCCTGCGCACCACCCGACAGCGAAGAAAGCCCCCCGCCAAACCTCCTAGATGAACCCTAAACCCTAAACTCTGAACCCGAGGCCCTCAACCCGAAACCCTAAACCCCTACAGCCTAACCCCTAAACCCTAAACCCTAATAAGCCAGAAGGCCCCCAAACGTGCCCTGAAAAAGCGAAGAGCTCGGTGTCCCGACGTGTGTCGCTGGATGACCTGAGCTTTCCAACACAAATGGTTTGGGCAGAGTGCAGGATTATAGGGTTTTTTTAGGGCTTGTAGGGCTTGTACTGCTTATGGGGTTTTAAGGGCTTACAGGGTTTATAGGACTTATAGAGTTTGTAGGGTTATGAATTATATGAAGTAGGGTATATATTTCTTGTACCCCCAAAAGGACACCAGGTACATACAGTCACCAATATTAAAAAGGAACCTTATATACACTCACCAAAAACAGAGATATAAACCCTGCTTCCTATAGGGCTTGTAGGGTTTGCCACCAAGTGCTGCCGACCTTCTTCAAGCGGCCGGCCGCTCTTCAGTGAACATGGGGGGGGGGGGGGGCGGCTTCCGAAACTTGGAGTGCGCTTTTTAGGGTTTAGGGGTTTGGGGTTTAGGGTTTAGGGTTTAGGGTTTAGGGTTTAGGGTTTAGGGTTTCGGGGCTCCCTGAAGGCATTGTTCCTGTTTGTTTTTTTTTTTTGGGGGGGGGGGGGGGGGGGGGGGGGGAATTAGGGGACCCCTGGCTGGGAGGCTCCTGTAAGTAGGCTTCTACTCTTTTGCGGTATCTTAGGCCGACCCCTGTTTGGGAAAACATGTACGGGCTTTAAGGGCTTAGGTGGTTCGGTTTAGGGCTGCCCGGGGCTGAGGCTATGGCAGTCTAAATGCTTAGGTTTGAAGGGTTCAAGGGCTTGAAGCAGGGCTTTAAGTTCCCCCTTGTGCTAACAGTCCTTGATCAGTAGGGATTATAATAGGACCCTATTACGGACAGCTAGTACAAGAGGGAACATCCCAACTTTAACGTGTATCGGTCTAATGAGTAAGCTCCGAAGCCGGAAGTTAAATGGCATCGTGTGAGCTCGGCGCAGATCGGTGGGAAGCACATGGGTATCCAGAACCTGCCAGGCTTAGGGCGTAGGGTTTAGGGTTTAGGGTTTAGGGTTTAGGGTTTAGGGTTTAGGGTTTAGGGTTTAGGGTTTAGGGTTTAGGGTTTATTGGGGTTTAGGGTTTATTGGGGTTTAGGGTTTAGGGTTTCGGGTTTGGGGTTTGGGGTTTAGGGTTTGGGGTTTAGGTTTTAGGGTTTAGGGTTCAGGGTTGAGGGTTTAGGGTTTAGGGTTGACGGAGCCCAGGTTCTGCCCCAGAACCCTAAGAACGATAATACCCCCGATTATTGGGTTTGGGGTTTAGGGTTTAGGGTTCAGGGCTTAGGGTTTAGGGTTTGGGGTTTGGGGTTTGGGGTTTGGGGTTTAGGGTTTTAGGGTTTTAGAGTTTTAGGGTAAAATCCCTATTAAGGACTGTTAGTATAAGGGGGAACATCCCCATGCTCCCCTAAGAACAAAATGACAGGCTGAATGTTTCCTTGGGGTTTTTCTATCACAAACCAAGACCTAAGGAAACAAAAACTCTAGCTCCTGAGGATAAGGACATAAGGCAGAGTATAGGGAGGGCCCCCCCACTCTTTTTAATCGTCCATAAGCCAACAAAACATAGCATCATCCCTGAAAAGACTGTAAGATATTGCCTCTTCCACTCTCCCCCCGGTTACGGCACAGGTAAACTGAGCCTCGTTAACCCTGAACCCTGAACCCTAAACCCTAAACCACAACCCTAAAAGCCAAACCCTAAACCTAAACCCCTTTCAAGGCACCAGGAAGTCCCCCTTTTCACAGGCCTCGCGACACTCAGCACTCAGCGCAGCATTTCCTGCGGTGTCAGGCTTACTTGGAGGTTCATGGATGCCTATAAGTAGGGTTAGAGAGTGTAGGGTCATAGGGTTTAGGGTTTAGGGCTTGGGGTTGAGGGATAAGGGTTAGAAGTACCCTAGATGAGAGTATTACCATAGATATCCTACTTACAACCCTACTTTACCCATGAACCTCCAAGTAGGGTTCAGGTGTAGGGTTTAGGGAAGATGAAGAAAGGATGCTTCCCTTGTAGGGGTTCATCCTGAAACCCTTTCACAAACCCACCCCCGAACACCGACACCTAAACCGGCGGTTCATGGGTACTTATAACCACAATTATGAGTCTACTTTGAACCTACTTAGAGGACGACTTAGGGGGACTTAGCGGACTTATAAGTACAGTTCTAATTGGGCTATAAGTACCTTGAAGTAAGCCGGATAAGGCTCCCCAGTGTGGCATTCATCTCTAAGGCATTTGCATGGTCCCCTACTTGGAGGTTCGGGGTACTTATAATCCCGATTATGACTGCACTTATAAGCCCCCGAAGTCCCCCGAAGTCCCCTAAGTCCTCTAATTAGGTTATAAGTAGACTCTTATAGTTGGGGTTACAAGTTTCCATGAACCTCCAAGTGATATGGGCCCTTGAATGGAACCCCTTAGAAACCCCTCTTGGCCAAGGAGGCAAGGGACCAGGTTACGGGACCATGTAGCGACCTTTAGAGCATGCGGAAGGCACGGGCGCTGTGCCCGTGCAGGCCGCGCTCGAACGTCGCACTTCTCCCAGGCGCAACCTCTTGCCCCAGACTGAAACCTAAGACCCCCGGATCCCAAAAGCACCTAGTATTGGGGCTCCTGCTTCCTGAACCCGAAAAACCTAAAACCCAACCAGGCTCAGAGCCCTGAAGCCCTGAAACTCTAAAACCCGGAAGGCACTTGAAGCCCAAAGCCCCAAACCACAAAAAGCAGAGCTCTGAAGCCCGGAAAAACCAGAAGCCCAAAACACTACGTGCCCTGAAGCCTCTTTAGGGTTTAGGGTTTAGGGTTTAGGGTTTAGGGTTTAGGGTTTAGGGGGTTTAGGGGGTTTAGGGGGTTTAGGGGGTTTAGGGGGTTTAGGGTTTAGGGTTTAGGGTTTAGGGTTTAGGGTTTAGGGTTTAGGGTTTAGGGTTTAGGGTTTAGGGTCAGCCCTGGGCCGCGATAAGCCCCCAGAAACCCATCCGCAAGTCCCTCATGCATTCCGGCCTGGAGCCTCTCCGCGCAGCGGGGCACCAGGTCTACGGAGGGTTTAGGGATTAAGGGTTTAGGGTTTAGGGTTTAGGGTTTAGGGTTTAGGGTTTAGGGTTTAGGGTTTAGGGTTTAGGGTTTAGGGTTTAGCTTGTTGGGCTCTCTGGGTGACCCAAGAACCCCTACAGCCCACAATCCTACAACCATCGAAGGGATCTGCCTGCCTCTTCTCATGGCCTGTTCTGGGCCCAGCTGTGGGACATATGGTTGCCTAGGGTTTGGGGTTTGGAGCTTCTAAGTGATATCTAGGGCCCCCTTTTCTGCTTCGGGGAAGCGGGCCTGTGTCCACATGTCTGCTTACAGTCCTTGAGAGCAGCGAGGCAGTTTTCCAAGGTGGTCTCGGAAGCTGGAACCCTCAACCCCAAACCCCAAACCCTAAAGCTCAAAACCCTAAACCTTAAACCTCAAGCCCTAAACCCCAACCCTGAACCCCAAACTCGGCCCACGTAAAATGGCAACCCTAGGAGAGGACTGCGGGGTTTAGGGTAAAGGGTTTAGGGTTTAGGGGTTTAGGGGTTTTGGGGGTTTAGGGGGTTTAGGATTTAGGGTTTAGGAGTTTTGGGTTTAGGGTTTAGGCTTTAGGGTTTAGGGTTTAGGGTTTGTGGTTTAGGGGTTTAGGGTTTGTTGGGTTTGGGTTTAGGGGGTTTAGGGTTTAGGGGTTTAGGGTTTTGGGGCTTAGGGTTTTGGGGCTTAAGGGGTGAAGGGGTGTAGGGGATTAGGGAATTTAGGGTTTGGAGCTTAGGGTATGGGCCTTAAGGGTGGTCTAGGGTTTAGGATTCAGGGTATGGACCCCCTAGTGTCCGGAAAGCTGAATGCAAGATCCACATCTTGCCCTGGAGGTCGCACGAATGTGAAGTAGGGCTTAGGGCTTAGGGCTTAGGGTTTAGGGTTTAGGGTTTAGGGTTTAGGGTTTAGGGTTTAGGGTTTAGGGTTTAGGGTTTAGGGTTTAGGGTTTAGGGTTTAGGGTTTAGGGTTTAGGGGTTCGGGCTGAGGGCTTAGGGTTTAGGCTTTCACATTTCTAGCACATACACTCAGCAATACTTGCATCTCAAGGAATCACCACACACCGTGGAGATCCTAAACCCTAAGCCCACACAAGGATATTGGGATACAGGCAGGATATAAGGAACCGTATATACACCAACAACAGTCATTGAGCCCCAGGCCCAGGGTCCGCAGGGTTTCGGGTTTGCGATAAACCCAAGGCCCCGTCCCCTCAAACGAAAGGCCCTAAACCACAAGCTCCCTAAACCCTAAACCCTAAACCCTAAACCCTAAACCCTAAACCCTGAACGTCAAGAGGTCTTGATTTCCTGCTTTTGGACCCTCGCAGCCACGGTATCTGGGAGTATCCCGGAGTCGGGGGAACTCCAACCCTCCGCAGCCTTCTACAAGGGGTGCCTGTGGACTACGCGCGCAGTCCTACCACCGTAGGGCGCTGTGTGCGAGCTCCAACATCAGCACAAAGCACATACTTGGAGGGAACCTTAATTAGAACGGTACCTGTAAGCCCCCTAAGTCCCCTAAGGGTTCTAAGTAGATACATATTTGGGGATATATAAGTACCCATATGAACCCCCTGAACCCTAAACCCTAGACCCTAAACCCAAAACCAGCTAGAAGTGGTAGAAGTACCCATATGAACCTCCAAGTAGAACAGGCCAAGCTCAAGGATCAGAAGCCCTCACTAGTGCATAGAGTATACTGCCCTAAACCCTACAGCCCAAACCCTGAACCCTAAACCCTGACCCTAAACCCTAGCCCTAAACCCTAAACCCTAGCCCTAAGCCCTAAACCCTTCATGAGGGGTATTGACGGCTCCTTGGATGGCGAGTCAGTTTGTGCTGGACTTGCGCTTGACCATGGTCAGTATCACCCTCAGCACTCAGAACTGACTGGGGGGCGTGGGGGGATTTAGGGTTTAGGGTCTGATTTGGGGGTTTAGGAAAATAGGGGACCCCGAAAATACACACCTGAATAGCAGGATTCCCTTATCACAAGGACCCAATAAGGTACCCCTAATTTTGGAAGCCGCCATTGGGGACTGTTTAGGGCTTGAGCGGTTTAGGGCACGTGAAAATCCTTTCGCAGCAGTTCTGATAAAAGCAGGATCCGTAGAAGGGGGCAGGGGGGGGTGGCTGTAGTCTTGCCAGGCCCTGAACAAACCAACGCCGGTCCTTCTGCTGGTTTGCAAGATTTGTGTGTTGAGCAAATTTGCACCTTACTTTTCAGGCCGAACGCCTGCTTGAAGGTTCATGGTACTTGAGGGCGAAAAGTACCCTAAATAAGGTCCTAAACATAGTTACCCTACGTAATAAGTTATGAGTACCCAAAATGAACCTCAAAGTACTGGTTCTTGGAAAGGGATGAGGGAAGTAGCGACCTTGTATTCCCCCTAGAACCGTATATCATCCCCTTCTGGGTGGACTTCGGTTTAGGGTTTAGGGTTTAGTCCTTAGGGCTTAGGGTTTAGGGTTTAGGGTTTCGGGTTTAGGGTTTAGGGTTAGGGTACCTCATTCCCTCCTAACACCTACAAATTGGGTGCGGGGGCCTTCAGCAAGAGACCTGCCTGGGGCCCCTCGCGGAGCCATGGAGATGTAGCCCAGGACCGCCAGGAAGGCCAGGGCGAAGGCCTTGGCTTGTCTAGGTAGCCCTAAACCCCCTAAGCCCTAAACCCTAGACCCTAAACCCTAAACCCTAAACCCTAAACCCTGAACCCTGAACCCTGAACCCACCCCAAGCCCCAAACTTGAACCCTGAGCCCCGTACACCTACAGTACTGCTGATGGTGGGAGAATCATCCATTGAAACCGACAGGACCTAAGGTTTAGGGGCTTTAAGGACTTCATGCACAGGTCGTCCGCTGCACGATTCTTTCAAAAACTGACCTGGCTGTCGTCAGGTGAACTGAATGATGCT